GTGTCACAGGGCGAAGAGTTAGACTTGTTTGCTTGTTCGCGGCACCCGGTGTCACAGGGCGATGCCTCCGTTTGTGTCTTGTTCGCGGCGCCCGGTGTCACAGGGCGAAGTGCTTCACTTGTTTGCTTGTTCGCGGCGATCCCTCCAGTGTCACAAGGAGATGCTTCCATTTTTGCGGTTCGTTTGCGGCGCTTGGTGTGATAAGTATACCCCCACTCCTTACCAGCTGGCTACGCATAATTTAACAGATTTACTTGGTTTCCTTCGGCATGTGATTCTCGTGACGCCCGGTTTCACTCGGCGACATGTCAATAGCGAGGTGTGTTCAGGCGGTTTGGCTAAGCTTTTACAATGTAACAAAGACATTACTTGTTCGTGGGCTGTCACATGCTCTTAGAAGGGATTGACCACAAGCATGTGCATGTGTTTCATGACTGGTGACTGACGTGACTTCGCATTCCGCGCGGTTTCTAGGAGACGAGAAGAGAAGCCAGAAGGCAAGCCAGAAGCAAAGAAGCGAGCCGTCGAGGCACAGTCGATGGGATGCCAAAGGGCAAGTGTTATTTTCATGACCAAGCGAAAGTAATATTGTGCTCCAAACTTGCCAGGATGTCAGTGAAAGACCTGCAAAAGCCGCAAAGACTGAGAGCATTCATGCTCTGGGCAACTGGCACCGTGTACAGTCAAGGCGCAACCCCGAAATCTGGTATTGGTTTGATTCCCACAGTGGACGGTGCATCTAGCACAGCTTTTCTCTGCTTCCTACGCGCATGTGCAGCACCTTAGCTTCGGGTTGCCCTTTTGAAGGAACAGGTTTGGCAGGTCTAGCGCACACAAGTGCGTTCAAAAAGAAAAACCATAGTCTTAGCGATGCAATGTTTAACAGGACATAGCATAGCAACCTTTGTTTCTTTGACACTAAAAGGAGCATGCTTGGGTGCATTCAATTGTTTGCTTTGCGAAACGAGTGGTCGCACACTTCATGAGGCAGTGAGATTATGAACAGTCTGAAGCACTACTTCTTTACTCGGTGCACAAAGCCTTCTTGTATTTTACGCAGCCTTGCATAGCTAGGTGCTAGCGCTCGCAATTGGTGAGCGATCGTGGCCGCACGGCCCACGCCTTTTGCTTATCATGTATACTGTCTGGGCCAGCAACCAATTGATCGTTTGGAAGGAAGTGCCAAGACTAAATGAAAGGCAAAGCAAAGAGAAGAAGGTCTACTTCTAGGGGCAGGGGGTTCTGGCTCGGTCTTACGAATCATGTTTAGCTCTGGGTTGCCTTGTTGAGGGAGCAGGTTTGATAGGTCTACCGCACACAAGTGCGTTCAAAAGAGAAGCATCGTCTTAGCGACGCAATGTTTCAAAAAAACATGCCACAGCAACCTTTGTTTGTTTGGCACATAAAAGGAGCATGCTTGGGTGCATTGAATTGTTTGCTTTGGGAAACGCAAAGCCTTGTTGTATTCGAGGCAGCCTCGGATAGCTAGGCGCTGCTTGTGCAAAGCGCTCGCATTTGGTGAGCGATCGTGGCCGCACGGCCCACGCCTTTTGCTTAGCATTTTTTCGCGCACTGTCTGGGCCGACAAGCAACAGATCGTTTGGAAGGAAATGCAAGACTAAATTAAGGGCGAAGCAAAGAAAAGAAGGTCTACTTCTAGGGGCAGGTTTGGCTCAGGCAGTAAACTTAGACCCCTTGTGCAGGAAAATCATGTCTCAGGCCGGCTGCTGCGCAGTGAATGTTACGATACATGCAGACAACAACACACATACAAACATGCGCGCGCTCACTTTTGAATGGCTCAAGTTCAGCGCTGGCTGTCAAAGGTTCGTTCCGATGCACGACTAGAGTCAGGGAAGCTTAGCTGATAGACCTGTTCCAGCGAACACATGCAAACGCGCACGCATGCACAAACAGACAGACACACACACACACCCACACACATACACACACACACACACACACGCGCGCAGCGAGCGTGCTTTATATGGCTCAAGTTTCAGAATGGTCACTCAAAAGAGCATGCGATGTTCGTGAATGTCGGACGCCGCTTCGATGCCCAAGTGTATGTATGACCAATGTAGGGAGACATCGGTGGTGACCTTCGGATTCGCTTGACATGGAGTGCCAGTTTCGCGTACTGGTCATGCTGCAGCCTTCTTGCTCAAACTTCACTCGCTTCTTGCGCTGCTACTTTCGTCCGGAGCTTTGGCAAGTGGGAGCTCAGGGGAGCTGTGTGAAGCTGCGCCCTGTACCCGAGGCCTGTAATTGCTGCTCTCAGAATGGCTATGGCGAATTGCTGCGCACGGGTTCATGGCGGCATGGCTCATGTCACCCTCTACAAAACTCTCCACAGGTCACGGCACCATGCCACCGATCGCACACTGAGGCAGCGTTTTGATTGATGAGGCTGCTGCTGGGCTGGAGGGAGGTGCGGTTTCATTGATCCTCACCTTGTCAGCCAGCGCACTAGATATCGGAGTGCATGACAGGCGCTGGGCTTATGTTGAAGACGAACTGGTGTGACTTGGCGAGGACAGCAGGGTTATTCATGCAATTCAAGTGCACGAAGCTGAGGTGACTACTTTGTCAACGCAATCGGACGTCGGATGGCTTTGGCTCCACAGACGCGCTGGCAACTTAAGCTTGGACACGCGACCCCTGGCACACGTGCTGTCGCCGAGGTAGCGATTTTGGCGTGAGCCACGCGTGGTGTGCCTGAAATGCACTTATCCAAACACATCCTAAATAACTTGCGGGCTTCTAGACAGCTAGTGCTGCCTACAAGGTGATTTCTTCATGGGCGCAATTGCTTCTCGCATGTCCCACCGCTGCTCGACCCACTGTTCGGAGAGGGTGCATTGCGCCTTTGCTGAGACAAAGTCAGTTCGCACGTGTTCCAGGTAGCATTCTCCAACGTCTGATGCTTGGCTACCAAGGGCGCAATTTTGGAACAGGCAAAGCCGCGGTGAGCACATGGCCCTGCGCACACGCAGTATCTACCGGACTATGGTGCGAAAGCAATTGGTGTGTCTTGGCCTGCGTTGCTATTGAATGATGTTGAACGCTGCTTGAGAGACCTTGAATGATCACTGAGGTGATGCTTTGGTGCGGAACATCTGCATTCGACTCGCCAGCACCGCCAAGATGCCTACAAGTGCCTGCATCGTGGATTGGTCTCGGATGCCCAGGCCGAGGTTCTACAAGGGATTCCGGTGCTACGCGCAGCGCAAGGTCCAGGACGCTGCTCGGTCGCAATCCGTTGCAATCAGCTGACCTCGAGCCTTAGATCTTAATGTCGCTTAGCAACGAGCAGGATATCAGCAACATTTACGACGAAAGCGACGGGGAGGAGCTGCGCGTGGCGGAAAGGGGTTAGGGCCTCAGGCTATGACTTTGGGCCCGGACGCGAACTTGAGATTGTTGCAGGATGTGGCCTGTCCCTTGTGATCAACTGGTGCATCTCGGCAAACTGAAGAGTCACGATGTGCCCAGCGCATCCTGCAAGTATAGCGTCTTTTCTTGATCGCTTACGAAGAGATGTAAACTGAGGCAATTACTTCATCGTCGGGTTGCAGACAGAGAGTGCAGAGGAAGCCGCAGTCACCATGTCGCGCAGACAGCGGCGCCGGGCGTACGAGGTGAGGTACTGGGACAATGTGCTGCGCAATGCCCTTGCACTCGCGGATCGAAAGCGAAAGCGACGTGAGCGAGCAGAAGAAGAGATCTTCGCATTCTACGCGGACATGGTCAAGGACGAGATGGCGGAGACGAGTCGCGCAGATCTGCAGAAGGGGAAGGGTTGCTCGGCTATTTGCGGAAGTGTTGTTGCTGCTAATCGCAGTTCGTTTCAAGTCAGGCTTACCAGATCCGCATGCTCCTGGGTATCGCAAGCAACAACGTCGCTACGATGATGTTTGTCTCATCGACGCTCTTCGCTGCTTCGGGCACAAGGTTCCCTATGAGCAGGATGGACCATTTTGGGCGATTCGCGATGGTACTCGTTTCCTGGCTCCTTTCTCGACGCTCGACTGCCTATGGTCGTTCCGTTTCCTTTTGTGAGTGTGAACAGTGAAAAGTTGATTAAACAGCTAGAGCCTTGTTCTTCAACGCAGGAAGTCAATCGTCAGATGCCACGAGTGGGCTCCATTGTTGAAAGATGGCGAGTTTGTGGTTGCCAAGAAGGGGCATTTTACTGCCTTGCGTTCCATTGAGGGTGTCTAGCAAGCCAATTTTGGTCGTCGCACTCACACATGGGAGCATGTGTTCTTCTTCCCAGAATGCGCGGATGCGGTATTCCAGATCACGGAGAAGCCTTCAACTTCGGAGCAAGCCAAGGAAGATGTGCGCGGCGGGTCTTCTGGCGCAAGCCAAATCAGCATAGAAAGTGATGACTTGAGCGGTTTGGAACCAGTTGCAAAGAGAACAAGGATGCTGGAGCCGTGCACGAAGGTGCTTACAACTTCGCAACGTGAAGCAGCTGCTGCTATGTGCTTGCGACGCCAAGGTTGCGCGGAGAAGCAGATCGAATGTTTTCTATGGGATCTCCGGGTGGTCTTAGAGCGCAGAAAGTTTGCGATGCAGTACGAGAACTGTGTAACACCGAAGTGCAGCGCAGGCTCTGGCACGGAGGATGCTGCGCCGGGCGGCATTCGCATTCCCTTGTCCTCACGCGCTTCTTCTTGGACACAAGCGAACCTGCAACACCAGCCTGAAGATTTCTACAATCTTACTTTGCCAAATGCACAGTTCGACCTTCTACGCTTACAGAACACCCACACACGAGACGGAGGGCTGCGGTTCGAATCCGAATCCCACAATGATGTGAAAACCTTGAATTCCGTCACGGGTCTTGTGCACAAGTTTGAGGAACCCTTTGTCTCGGACGAAGTCATCAGGATACTCTTAGAAAATTGAGGGCCCCACGCTTTTGAATACCAGCAGCATAGCGCAAGTTATCAACGGACTAAAAACATGTGTCTGCAGGAAGATGATGGCAGGTCCCCGGTGGCCGCGTGAACCATATATGAAGAAGCCTTGCAGCACGCCGATGACGCCGGAAGAAATCAAGGACATGTGGGCGCGCAACGCCAAGCTAGCCGCGAACCAGGGGACCTGGACGCATTTACAATGCGAGTGCATCTTGAACGGTGGAGCCGTCGCTGATGGAGCTGGCTCCATGGAGATGCAGCTGTTCCGTACCTTCTTGCTCGGCTCGCCCAAGTTGATCGCCTACCGCACTGAGTGGGCTATATTCGGGGAGCGGGAGCGCCTTGCAGGTACCATTGATTTCGTGGCCCGCAATGATCGTGGAGAATTGGTCCTGTACGACTGGAAGCGAACGAAGCAGCTGCGGCACAAGTATGCGAATGTATTCAACAGCATGACGGGCTTTCTTTCACACTTGCCTTCATGCGCCGGATTCACGTACCGTCTGCAGCTGAACTGCTACAAGTATCTCCTGGAGACATATTACGGCTGTCGTGTAGCTGGAATGTGTGTGGTGGGCCTGCATCCAGACAACTGGCCACAGCCATTTGTGGATGAAGTTCCGAGCATGCCCCAAGAAACCCATGCCCTTATGGCTTTTCAGAGATCGCTTGCAATGGATGCATGCGGCGGCAGCAACGCGCAAGATGAGTTGGACAATGTCAGCCGCGTCAACAAGCGCTGTCGTGTGTGGCTGCGGCTACTATCAAACCACGCGCAGTTGTCAAGCGTGCTGCCCATGACTTGCCTTGCCCTGCCAAATCCTCTGGACTCCAAGCTTAACAAAAGACCATGGGAAAGGAAAATGCGCGATGCCAGAATGCTCCTGCGCATGCTTAGTGAAGGAGACACGGAAGCACTATACCGTTTCTACCACGCCAGATTTCCTCAAACAATTGCAAACCACGAGTGGCTCCCCATCATGTTGCCGGACGCTAGACAGACGCTTCGGCAAAGTCTTGAAGATTGGCAGACTGAGGTACTCAGGGTTTGGATACTCTCGCTGCTACTCGATGCGGACGACGACAAGCTGCGTGATGATGTCTGCAACAAGAGCTTGCTGCTTCGCACTTCGACTTGGTTATGCACATTCTGGCAACCTCTGACGCTTGCATTTCTCCTACAGCAAACCACGTGGATCAGCTTATCCGTTTTCACCAGCGAGTTGCGGTTCACATATCTTTGCTGCGTGAATGGCCTCACTTGGTTTGGCTGCTTCCAAGTCCGCTAGACACGTACGCATCAGCAAGCAGCTTCAACGCTCGTCTATCAGAGACTTTGATGCTTTTTGAGCTTCTGGAGAACGGGCATTTCAAGAGCTTCGCGCTGGTGTGCTACACGCTTTACCACAATGAGCTCGCGCAGGAGGATTGGCTCCAACACTATCTTGATGCTGCTCAAGAGTTCCCTAGGTGGCAGGACCAAGCTGTGCGATGCTTGATGCTCGTGCATCTGCTTCGGCTGCCTCAAAGGCCTACAAGACTGGAGCACTTGTGTGCTTCAAATGCTTTGCCCCCAATAGCTGAAGAAACGGCGGAGCCGGATGACGTGTTAGGAGGCGGTCTCAACGACTCGCAGAACACTCAGGACACTTTCCGACAGGAGCTGTCGCAAGAAATGCAGAGTCGCTTGGAAGGTGTGGAAGCAAGCCCCATCTCAGTGAAGCGTGAAAGGCTAGATCCGCAGGGCGCAGCAGCCAGCAGTAGCCAACACGCAGGTGCACCGCACGAGACCAAGAAGGAGGAGCCCAAGGAAGATGATGACGGCGCCCCGGCGGAGCCGGAAATCAGCGTGGACACCGCCACATGGAGCGTTCTACAGAAGAGGAGGTTGCTGCCCGGCGCTGCCAGGTCTGCCTTTGATTTTGCAGACCACTTCAATACACTCTCAAATCAGAACACGCAGTTTCAGACGCAAGCAGCTGAACCCATCGACAATTCCCACACAATTCTAGAGCAAACAAAGAGGTTCACTGTGTTCGTTCGGGAGAGGCTCCACGGCGTGCCCGACACGATCGTCCGGCTTTGCGTTGCAGCCCTTGCGGTGTTCCGCGTGCGCATTGTTGATGTATTCATGCGTGAGCACGCTTTCCTACTATGGATCATGCAAGGCAACAAGCAGCTGCGCTTCCACGCGGGGGATTGCTACCTGCTGCATCATAGTGGGGCATGGCAGCAATACAAAGGTGTACCGCCAGACTGTGGCCTGGTCCAAGAGTTTCTGATGCAGCTCGAAGGTATTTTCCGGCGGATGCCCAGAACCGTTGCACGCAGCCCTGTAGATATCACAAAACAATATTCGAGATGTGGAATTCGGACAATTCCGAGGACAAGGACTTCTTGGAGCGCTGCGTTGATGCTTGCCTCGGCGCTGATGTGTCTAGGAGAAGAGGGCATGCTGGACAAGATGAAGAGGAAGAAAATGGCAACGCGAGCAAGGCATGGCCGCTCGATGTTGCAAAGGTGCTTGTGCAGATAAAGCGCGATCTGAGCCGCGAGCTACAGCACGAAAAGCTTTTCAATTACATGATTGAATGGTGTGACACGAGCAAGGAGCCGGTGCCTAGTATTTGCTACGAGGATTGCTGCGTATTGTACGATTCGCAGGACTAGGGTTTGATTTTGATTACGTGTTACATCTACGTAAAAGCATTGTGATGTTTATCATTTTCCGAAGAACTCACTTCTGCTCAGGACGGCCCGGCAGTGCAGGTGACGCGTGCTGAGCTGGAGAACTGCTATTTGCGTGTTCCTCACTGTATCAAGGGCACGATTCCTGCATACATCATTGCCTGGATAGTGCGCGATTCGATTTCTCCACTAAGATGTTCAACAGAATGCGCATCCCTGACGCGCCCAACATGAACAAGGCGGATCTCCTGACTGACTTGAAAAAAAAGCAATTGGTGCGCCTCGTGAAAGGCAAAGGCAGCAGATCAGAAGAGACATGGACACCATTGCTGACAACCCGACGAGAGCTGAGTAAACTGATTCACCACACAGAGAAGCAAGCAAGCGAAGTTTATACGGAGCATCATGCGCTGAGTGCTTTGGAGCAGTACGTATCCGGGATTGCGTGCAGAGCTGAGAACAGTCAGGTCCTGCTGGATGTCTACATTGCTGCCATCAAGGGTGCAAAAAGAGCGGGAGCCCGAGCCGTCAAGAAGGACAACCCGGGGGAAGTGTACGAGGAAAGAGCTTCCAAGATCGAGGCGCACGAGAAAATGTGCGAGAAAGTCCTGGACATGCAATTGCAAAGTGCAGAGGCCGCGCCTCCGGCTTGCAAGCGGCGCAAGAGAAGCAAAGGTCAAGAAGCTAGCTCGCAGGCAGGTGAGCCATCGCAAGTTGCTTCGGCGGGCAACCGGCGCAAAGTGGACGTGCAGTATTACTATACTTTGCCGGACACCATTCGGACTCGCCAACAGTGCCAGTCCAGCATCTCCGCGCAGCGGTTTTCTCGCAGATTGCAAGCGCTACTTTTGCCTGACACAGTCGACCTGGATATACACAAATTTTCACGGTCATGGGTCAGCTTTTGACAAGGCTGGAGCCTTTTCCACCGCTTCCTGAGCAATGTAGAGTTGCTTTGCACAGATGCGCTGCTGATAGAGATGCAGTGTGTCGTGAGTCTCTGAACACGAGTCCTGAGAAAGGAAAAACATTGCTGGTGTCGCTCCTTTACGGGGCAGCGCCGCCAGGAGACTTGGTGAAGAACGAGTTTGTTCAGAAGTTGCAACGGGTGTCCATCTACTGCCGCTGGCTCGCCATTGGGCTGCTGCACCAAGAGTATGAGTACTTCTTAAGCAAGCCAGTTCCCAAAAAAAATCCAGATATGTCAGCGCTGGCGCATCTGTACTTTACTGCCGAAGACTACATCTTGCAAAGCTGGGCTAGTCTCTTAAGGCCAATGAACCTAGCTCACCTGTCCTTGCATTATGATGGAGTCCGTGTATGGCTGCCGGATGGGCAATCGAGTGCATCCTTGATAGCCCTTTCACAAGAGCATATCAAAGGGCAGACCGGGTTCGCCGTCTCCATCAGAGAGAAATGTCACTTCACCGTGCTCGAATCACTACAGCAAAGAGCGTGCGGCAGCTTCACAGAGAGACATACTGAGCCCGTGTTGAAGCAAGACGGCAATTACATCCCGAGCGTGTTGGCGTATCTGAAGGACAACGAAACGGAGATTGCTCAGTTGTTGCAGGCTGCAAGCAGCGAGAACACATGGCATCATGCCAGAGGAAGCCGACCATACCGTCAGTGTGTGGAATATTTTCACGCAAGCTTGTCCCCAACCTTAGACCTTCAGGATTTGACACCGGGAAAGTACCTTCTTCATTCCGAGTGCCGTGGTCGCCCTCACTGCGTTGGGTTCTCCTTCGCATCCAAGGCCCCGCTTTCCAAAAAAATAACTATTTTGCAAAGTGTTGCGGTGCTTGCACTAGATTGGCCCTATAACCTGCATCCTGACAAGGACGGATTGGCGCACATTGTGGATGTGGCACGCTGCTGGGACGTTTCATTTGAAGACTTCTGCAGCTGTGTGCTGGCTGGAATCGACTCCATCACCGTTGTGTACTTCAGGCTTTGTGAGGAAGAGCGTGAATGTCCGCCTCATCTCTTGCCTTTGCTGGACCTTCAAGCTGCGGCAAGCGACAAGGATGTGGCTTCAGATATGTCCGATCATGTCCAAGCTGATGATCATGCCAGCGACAGTGAAGATCAACGCCCACAGGACGCAGCTAACTTTGGAGGCAACTGGCTGGACGACTTGGCCAATGTTACAGTGGACACGGACTTGCTTACAATGTTGGAGGCAGAAGTTGTTGATGTAGACTCAGCGTCGAACGGGGATCTGCCGCGGATGGGGTCCCAATATAGGTGCCCAGCGTGCCCATGGCGAACATTTACAAGGCCTGCCCGCGTGAAGGCGCATGTGCGTCGATACCACAAGAAACACAAGCAGTTTGTCGCCTCCGGCACAAAACAGATCCGGATTTTGATGTGCTTGCACGACTCGGACCAGCTTCTGGGACGCATGCGACAGCGGTACTTACAAAGGAGCGCTTCTTTGCTTCGATCGCAAGTGAAACCTGCTTTGTCACCTACTGTGAATGCCATTGATCGGCAGATTCGTATGGTGTTGCACAAGAGTGGACCACGCCTGGAACGCGCTGATGCAATCCGAGGAAAGCACGTTCGAAGAGCGGGCAACATTCTTTACACCCAGGACTTTGCAGAAGAGCTATACCGAGAAATGTTGCTGAACCATGCGAAGGCACGGTACAAACAAATTCGTTTCATTCTACTCTGGTAAGAAAGGGCTGGTTTCATTGTTCAAGATTCTTGTGTGCAGGCGAAAGCTATCTGGCCTCGTTTCCTTCTAGCAGCAGCATCCTCGAAGAATGAGCTGGCAAACCTACTGCCGATGCACACCAAGTCTTGGTGGCCAATGGTCGAAGATGTCTTTTCGTCCCCGCCATGTGTCAACCTTCACCAAAGCCTGGTCAGTCAGGCAGCGCATCACGGTGAGTTTCAAAGCGTTTCAATAGATGGCACTTTTAGAATTTGCATGTCTTTGATGGGCCAGCCAAAAGTCAACATACCTGCAGACGCAAGAGGATCCGCAGCAATTCCCGAAAGCGAAAGCTTCCAGCGCGTCATCACAGTTCGCGGCCGCACAGGCGCAGTCTTAGGTATGGCAGGCTCTCTCTCTGAAGCATCAGACTGCATCGCGGAATGTCTGCAGAATCTTTTTCCAGTCAGTGCTCTTCAGCAAGTAGAGCATGTGTCCACCGACGCGCCATCCGCTAAGCTTTTCGACGTGCTCTCCCACATCCTGCCAAAGATCAAGACAATGAGCTTAGATCCCACACATTTGCCGATGAAGTATGAAGCAGTGATGGGTTCTTGCCTCAGTTGAGAACATGATGCTTGTCTTTATCTTTGTGTGCGTCTTACTGTGATCTCAGGCGGGAAGCGAACTGAAGGCGCTGCATTCATTCGTGTTATAGTTGTGAAAGCAAGCAGCGTTGAAGGTGCAACTGGTGTTGGTTTCGCATGTGCTTGTGACATGAAATAGCCATGAACTCTCTTGTAGGCTCACGGGTACTGCGGTCGATCATGGCCAAATTCAGCGCCATCGACGACACAGTCGTAGAAGCAATGTGGGGCCCGGCCTTCTCTGGCGCAAACGCCCCCCACCTCCTTGCCCCGGAAGAGTTCTTGCGGAATCAAATCCTTGAAGGGTCCATGCCAGTCAGGAGAGCAAAGAACATAATGAACGGGCTCGCCGGTCGCACAATGTGGCGAGCTCGCATTGAGTTCATTGAGTCCATCGCTGCTTTGTCTGCCGTGTATAGAGAGGATGTAGTCCGGAAGTTACCAGGGACAAAACGTCCTCTTTTTAAAATCTTGTGGGCATCTACTGCGTTGGATAAGGCTGAATGGCTGTTTAACAACCTGCGTTTCCGGCAGAGCTTGTCAAAAGCTGCCCAAATTCTGATGCCGGTTGGAACAACCAGCAATGAAGCCTTGCACGCTGAACTCAACAATTGGTTCCGGCAGATACAGAGTTTGCACAAGGCAACTCTATCCTTGAAACTTCGTATCATTATTTTATCTAAGCTCGTTGCGCACAATGCTGCCTTGTATGCGCCGACTGCTCGCCAAATGCCGTCGACGCACGTTTTGGCGAGGAAGCTCGGGCAGCCATTGTTCACGGCCAAACAATGGCGTGTGTGGACTCAGGACTTGATTCAAGAAGGGACAGTGTCAATAGCCACGCTGCCCTTGCGCAGCTCAAGGCTTAGAGACTCTGAAAGAATTCGTTCGCACACTCTGAAACGACCCGCTGCTGCAGGTCCCAGTAGTACTGCCAGCAGCAGCAGGTCAGAACTTAAACATAGGAACGTGTTCGCGCTAAGTCGCACGGAGGGCGTCCGCCGAAGCGGCACGACAATGCGCCGGCCTGCGGGCAAATGAATTAGCAGCCCAAACGAACGACCAGGAAAAAGGCGTGACCCAATTCTGAATGCATGCAAACATGCATGGGATGTGAACAAACAACATTCAGCAATATTGCAGCATATGCCGATGGAGCCAGCGTAGTCGTCGGTGTGGGGCACGCTGGAAATGCCTTCACCAATCTTGAGGGATGAGCTTGCGCACACACACGGCTCACAGTCAAGCTGAAATGTCTAGCGATTGCTAACGTCCTAGCTGGAGATAGCGCTTAGTTCCGCGATGCAATGTATGCAGTGCGGCCTGTGCCTGAGGCAAGTGTTCGATGGAGTTGTCGCGTCGAAGGCGATGTTCGAGAATGCTGAAAGGTCGCATGGAAGATCGTAGCAGTTTCGAGGTGAGAGGTTGTCTTGGTTTCAGGACACAGTCTTGGACTATGCTGGAATGACAAGACCAAATGTGTGCGAACGCCGGGTGTTTTTGAATTGGCCATGTCGCGCGCGCGCGCACACACACACACACAAACAGACATTCACGTTGCAAGTTGTTGAGTGTTGTAGAAACGCTGTGGACTGTTGCTAGGCCTTCTTGTTAGTCAGGGCTCGCGAGCCCAATGCAGCGCTAAAGTTGTTTGACCTTACCGTGCTTGAAAAGACCAAGATCTGCGCAGCAAGCCCAAGGTTGCACGGCATGTATTTTTGAACTTGATGGTCTAATGCAGACAGTTCGAGTTGCTAATGAAGAAGCACAGCGTTCACATTATACACATTGTTCCCTGCCACGGGGGGGGGGCTCCAGCAAGAAAAAGTTCTTCCCCTTCGCAGGGACGGTCCAAAATCGACATGAACGGAACAGGAATGGCAAACCCCCTGGCTGCTTAGAGAAGTGTCCGGCTTCCCTTTGAAGGGGGCCTCTTCATGGCAGGGCTCTATGAGTTTTGCTATACCAGGCTCCCCGTGGCCTTCCAATTGCCATGTGAGCAAACTGAAACTGCTCGAGGCGAGCCACAGCCATGGTGAGTCCAAGTCAAAGGATCTTTACACAGAGGCCCATAGGCGTCCTTGGGAAATAGATGACCCTGGTAGATGATTAAACCACCAGGTAAGCCAGGAATCGCCACCTATTGTTCTACCAAAACAACCAAAAAGGGGGCCACCTATGCAGAGGCGGAACCACTCGCTTGAGCCAACAGTTCCCGCAATTCTCTTACGGGGTGTGTTTCTTCCATGTCCTGGCAACTTTCAGAACACTTCAGAGAATGGCGGACTCACCCTTCCAAAGTGAAATCACCTCAGAGAATGGCAGACTCACCCTTCCCAAAGTGAAATGAACTTCTGAGGCTGTGAATCTCCCTATTACGTCGCTTTCAAAGGGGCTCTCTTGGCAATTGGCAATAAACAACTCCCCAATACACCTACCCCTCACACCCAATACCAACCTTCTTTTGGGTATGATGTCGACCCTCTGCTAACAAAGGGATCGGTATTGACTCTGAAAAAACCGATCGGTTTTCCAAAAAACACCCTGAAAAGAAATATTTGGAGGAAGGGGTACATGTCATCCTCCAAACTCTCAC